AAAGCTGGATCCCCTTTTGACTGCATGGTCGAAGGTTATTATCAGTTCAATTGGCTTATGATCTAGCCCTGTGTACGGCGCTAGAGGTAAAATCCCCGCGTCCTTGACGGCCCCCCATTAGAGTTTCTGACAACAGGAAATAGTCTATACGTGAGAAGGCAGTGTGGTGTGCATGGTTTTTCTTGACCAAGGTGAAGGCTCTTTTCATAGGGTAGAGAGTCCTGTAAGGGTCAACTAGGTTAACATCCACCATTACTTCTTGAATTGGGAGTGCCTCTGACACGGAGGGGGTGTTGGAAGAGCGTGTTATAAGGCCGGTTGTTGGGTCTAAGGTGGCGTTCCAGTCACCTGCTAGGATACAAGGAAGCATTGGTGGCACCCAATTCCTAATGTTGGTCAGAAAGCCCGCTCTTTCTGCCGCAGAATTTGGAGCATAAACATGAATTAGAGTTAGTTCCTCTTCCTTCAACTTGATCTGCATCAAACACCATCGTCCTTCGATCGGGTCTGCTTTCTTGTTATGACTGTGCCTGTCGTGTATAGGCGGGATGTTTTGGGGATGAGGATTGCTGTTCCCTTGGAACTTGAGGCTGGGTTCGCCGACCATATTTCGTCCTTTAAGCCTCCTAGTTTCCTTGCCAAGAAAGTCTGGATTTTGTCGTGTTCTGGCGAAAAAGTGAGGTGGGTTTCCTGTCATAGTAAAATATCTGCTGTTTTACTATTAGCAGTTGTCATCCCTAATAGCAGGTCGTTCAGTTTCTCTTCTTTCTCCACCACGTTCCCAAGCCCATTGACATTCCAGCTCCTGATGACTAGCCCTTCATTTCTCCAATCAACTTCCATTGCTATTCTTAGTTTTATTGTAAAGAAGAATTTGGGGGAGCAAAAGGAGGTTGGAGATGGTGGCGAGATGAAGGGGGATTGGCATCGGTCTTTGGCGGTGTTCATCGTCTTCTCTTCTTCTTCCTTCGTCTATTTCTCTTTCCTTCTTTCATTTCAGTGGCAATTGAATGACATTGTCTTTCTTTGAGTTATTGCGCTGCAAGATAGCCAGGATCATAACAGCTATCAGCTCTTTCCCTGCAGAGGTGCTGCCCCCAACCATGAGCAAAGTTGACGACGGCGTTGATCGAGCCATGGGCCACAAATAGATTGTTGTTGTGCAGAAGTCACGGGGCAGAAGCAAACCACTGAAGTCACAGATGCATTTGAGTGTGGCTGCAAAGGGTCATCCGGACCTAAAGGAAACCAGGTGGTTCAGAAGGGAGGAACTAATCAAGTCTGTGCCTCAAGTGATTCTACACGATGAGAAAGGTCTTGAAAAGGAGCGCCATGAAAATTAAGGGTTCTGCAGAGGGCTGTGAACCTAAGGGGGTGGGAGTGCAATGCAATAAATCGCAATTTCGCACACTAAGTGTTTGGCTTTGTGGTTTGTTTTCTTGTTTTGAGCCTTGCGGGACTCGATCGCATGACCTGTAATTGGTATGTGCAAGGAAAATGAGCGATAGCGAACTTCAGAAATCAAACAGCATCATACACATGAGACCAGATAGTCGTGACCTCAAACCGATAGCAGAATTGCATCACGAGTTCCATCAAATAAGAACACAGCAAGAGCTCATAATTGACAATGCTTGAATAATCTCATCATCATCAACGAAGAACCAATGTCGATATCCTATCTGGCGCTCGGCGCCCAGACTACAGATGGCAGATCCTATCTAGCCTAATCTACAATGCCGCCGATGACGTCAACAGCTCCCCGAAGTACGAGCAGATCTCGGCCAATGCCGTACACTTCAAGCACCAGGTATGTCTCTCGTATCACTCACAACCTCGTTCCCCAACTCACAGATGCCACATGCACCCAAGGACCACCATGCGCCCCATCCAGCATACAGCAGCGCAGCTCGGCTATGACTGCCTGCTCCTTCCAGCTCGCCCGTGAGCGCGTGAGCGCTGGCCAGCGTCAGCGCAGCATGCAGCCAGTGCCCGAATGCCGAATGTGTGGGCAGGCACTTTCCTAAATGGAAGTGGCCTGCCTGCTTGCGTGCAGCTTGGCTGTACTGGGCCCCTGCCCAGAAGCTTCCGGTAGGCCCAGAGAGGCTGAGCCCCAGTCCAAAAAATTCAGGCCCTGGGCCTGTGCCCAGAGGCTTCCGGTAGGCCCAGAGAGGCTGAGCCCCAGTCCAAAAAATGGAAGTGGCCTGCCTGCTTGCGTGCAGCTTGGCTGTACCGGGCCCATTGCCCGTATCCAACTGCCTGTGGCCTGTGTCCGGTCCATGTTGCGAATCTGGCCCAGGGCCTGCCTCAGTTACATTGAAAAGAGGCGGCCTGCGCCTGGGTGCTCTCAACCAACTGGCGCTGTGCAACTGCCTGAATTTCCCCAGTTGCGTGGTGACCCCAAAAATGGCCTGTAGGCCTCGGTCGAGCCTGCCTTCACTTAGGGCGGCCGACTGTGCTGAAAATACGGCCCAGTAGGGCGTATCGAGGTCTTGTGCCTCGCATATGTTTTGTTTGCTAGTTTTGAGCCCTACGGGACTTGATCCCTAAGTCTGTCACTACTAGTCTCTGTTTGGCAGCCTTAGGCCATTCGGCCTTTTCCTTTTGCCTTGTCATAGGTCTAGGTCCCCTTTCCGCCCTGTTTCCATCTAGATGCAGATGAGTATTGGGTTGTGGCCTTTGGAGTCCGTCATGGGTCTAGGCAGAGGGTAGAAGTTGCGGGCAGGAAATTTGGTTTGGGGTCTTTTCACGTTTTCGTTGGCTGGGGGAAACACTGCCCGTCCGTTGTTGGAGCGCTGCTGCTCTATTTTGGGCGAGGTCATATTCTTCCTCGAAGCCCAGCCATAGCTGGGGTTGGGAAACGAAGTTGAAGATCACACTGCTGCTAAGCTTCCACAGGACTGTGTTGTTGGGTTTGGGCACTGCCATTTTCCACATGGCATCCATATCTGTTGTTCCTCCTCACGAGGAGTCTTCTTCGAAGTGCTGGATCGGTTGTCTCCTTCTTCATCAGGACTTCCAGCGCTGCACTTCCGTGCGGGTGCTGAGCTGGCGCTGTTATCATCGGGGTTGCTGGTTCAGATTGGCACGTTGTGACAGCTGTGGGATTACTGCTGCTATGGAAGCCATAGCCAGGGGTATGAGGTCGCGAGGAGGAAGAAGCAGACTCCTGCATACTTCGTTGAACACTTGTTTCTGGTTGTTCGGGGTTGTTGTAAACACAATTGTGATTCTTGGAACAAGTACTCTGGATTGATTGGAGGAGGACAAGGGATTGCGGAATTGAAATTCGTTTTTCAATTCTTTGTGTGTTTTGAGCTTCCGCTGTGCATATCTTCTCTCTGGTTTTGTGTGGATTTGCCTCCTTCGAGTCTACTTGCATGCGTGTATGGGAACGTGTGAATTCGCTGTGGATTGAAGTTCAATCGGGTACATAACAGCAAGGCCTCTTGGCCTTGGCAGAAGCAAGTAGGGGCCGCCCGCATGGAATTGACCCGGCCTTGAATAACAATAGGGCATAATATAATGAAACCGGGAGCTAAGTATAGGCCCAGACTTTCCAAAATAACGGGCTGGGCTATAAAGTGATCACCCAGGCATACGGAAGGTGGTGGATGCTGTTCAGAAACTTCCAGTACTTGGAAGAACCTCTCAATGACATAAAAACCACCTCCTCAATCGACAAAAGCATTGGAGGCGGCTGCTGAGAGACACACTTCTGAACTTCAGGGGATTGTTGGCTAAGTGTGCTAAAATCAGCGCAGCAGAAGCCGCAGGGCCTGGCGCGCTGACGATAGAAGGAAAGAGTTGTCACAACAGCAGCTCTACCAGCGGCAGCCATAGCTGCGCTAGATGTGAGAGGGGCATGCAAGTACTGGGAGGACAGTGGGAAGATCAAGTGAGTCTACACTACGAGAAAGTTCTTGAAAATAGGCAACTACATGTAGATTAAGGATTCTGCAGAGGGCCCGTTGACCTTGATGGTGCCCAGCAGGGGCCGCCTGCATGGAATTGACCTGGCCCTAGGTAACAGCCAGACATACTAGAATAAAGTCAGGCCCTAAGTATAGGCCAAGGCGTTCAAAAGTAACTGTCAAGGCGATAAAGTAATGGCCCAGGCATATGGAAGGGGGTGAAGGTGTTCAGAAGTATCCGGCACTTGGAAGAACCCCTCGATGATGGAACCGCGACCACCTCAATTGACAAAAGCATTGGATGCGGCTGCTGAGGGACACACTTCTGTACTTTGGAGGATTGCTAGCTAAGTGCACTAAAATTAGCACCGCAAAAGCCACAGGGCCCGGTGCATTGACGATCGAAGGGGAGAGGTGCCACGGTCAACAGCTCTACCAGTGGCAGACATAGCTTCGCTGAATGTGAGAGGGCTGTGCAAGCACAGGGAGGACGATGGGAGAGAGGACAGCGATGAGAAGGTGGACTTACCTGCCGGTGGGTGGAGAGCACACTTGGCGTGGTCAGACTCTACAACATCATGAGGAAGAGGAGAAATGGACAGGAAGAGAGTGAGAGATAGCGAGGATGTAGGACTGTACGTAGAGTAAGTAGGGAAGTAGTATACACGGTGGCAACATAGAAGAGCATCAAACTGTTGTTGTATTGATACCTGGAGGCGTGCATTTGGGCTTTCTATATCAAGAGACTTCAGTGCATGTGTGTTTCCAATTAGTGTGATTTTGGCTTCATGAATATGCTTTCGACTTTGCTTTTGTATGCTCGTTCTACTTTGGTGTCCCTTGCTGCTATGAAGAATTGTGTCTCATAGTTGGACTCCTTGCGCAGAGCAGAGAAAAAGTGCAAATAGAAAGCTATGCAAATGGTACATAGTACATACACTTAGGCCGTAAAAGTTTCCTTCGCCATCTGTCACTACTTTGGTGTCCCTTGCTGCTATGAAGAATTGTGTCTCATCGTTGGACTCCTTGCGGAGAGCAGAGAAAAAGTGCAAATAGAAAGCTATGCAAATGGTACATAGTACATACACTTAGGCCGTAAAAGTCTCCTTTGCCATCTGTCAAATACTCGCTCAAGGACGTCCCCTCTGCTTCCAGGTCGTCACCTCCTGTGAACAAGATAATAAGATAACTGGCCACCTTCTCACCAAAAATGGCTTCAACTGTATCCACTGCAGCAAGTTCTTCCGCTGTGAACCTTGACCGTGCCGACAACACTATAACCACAGCGTGAATGCCTTCTGGTGTCAAATTCATGCATCTGCTGATCTCTTCTTGCAGCTTTTCCTTGGAGAATTGTGGATCAAAAAGTCCTGCAAGAATAAGCAGAGCAAAACAAACATGCACTACCAGTTATGGAGCAATATACCAACAACAATCCCCTGCCCCATGATTAACCATTAAGTATTCACAACTTCATAAGTTACAATTCCCTGTCCCAAAACCTAAAATGCCTAAGTGCTGCAAAAATACCATGTCGGCATGCACCCATGCAGACTATCATTTTATTCATATTAAGGGAAAACCGCGAAGTAGCTGCCCAGAACAGGACCAAGCAGTTGAATAATCCACTTGATAACACACCGTTACTTGACGATCTCCCAGTTGCAGATGGGAGAACGACATCCTAGTCAACCTTTTCTTTTCTTTTTCACTTCAAACTTCAAAGGCAGAATACTGTAATGGAGAAACCCAATTTACAAGCACACTAAACTCTTGTGACCCAGGCCAAATCCGCACAGACACAGCCTAGGGTCGTAGCTTTTGGTCCAAGTGACCAAGTCTAAATTCCGGAGTCAAAAGTCACGTTCCCAGTTGAAAAGGGTCTCAGAAAGTGCTTAGCTCAATACGTACCTGGTCAAGGGACAAACGAGGCCACCTGTGTTCCCAGGAACCACTAGTTGACTTCAGGAAAATCAAGAGTCAGGCCCAACTCGGGCAAAGCAGTCAAAGAGCTACGGAGTTTTCGGGAGTCAACCACAGTCACAGATCTCAAGCACATCCAAAGGGAGTCAGCAATTTTCCCAAGCCCACTGGGTCCAGGCACACACTGGGCAAAAGTAAATCTACACCATCTGTGATCAAGAAACCTCAGCCACACGAGGAGGCAAACTGAGGCAGGCCATGCCCGGTCAACACTACAAAAGACTGGCCAGCTGTGACGAGCACTGGGTTCGAGGAGGAGGAGGTGTGAGCGGGAATGAACACACAGACGCACGACCGGACTCCAGCGCAGAACTCAACTGGTACAATGAGGGACACTCAGAGAAGAGTTCCCACAGCAGCTCGATGCCGAGCTCACTCTCAATATCTGAAACAGAGTACAGCACAAGCTGTCTCGGCCGTGTATGAGACCGGTACATATACCTGGGAACAGCCTAATGGCTGGGCTGGGTTCTGGGGTATGTATGAAATCAGTCGGTACCACAGGGGTGCCGGTAAAAATGTTCAAGGGACAGAAATGTAAAATGTGTCGGTAGTGAGGACATAGCAGGAAAAAATAAATGTCCAGTACCAGGCCTGACGTCCAGGGATCGAGCTCTGAGCTTCATTGCATTCTTGATTTGACAAAGGTTCCCAAGTAGATTTTTGTTCTAGGTATTCTGACCACTTGACTTTATACTGTAGAATAGACCTAGAATCCCGTGAAGTTCGAGTGCTTCGACGACCAGTGATTGCTTGTACGGCAAACTCAGGGCTTGTGGGTGTCATGACTAGAGGTGATCTAGGATAAGGTCGGCCAGAGAGCTCTGGTGGTAACTCATGATATTCTTTGAGGTATTCTGCGTGGAAGACAGGGCAGACATGTTTCACATCTGGAGGTAGCTGGAGTTTGAAATTTACAGGGGAAGGTTGGGCAATAATCGGGAATGGGCCAAGCTACTTGTTGCAAAGCTTGCGACTAAGGCCAAGTTCGAATTCAAAGCGCTTGGCTAAGAGGCACACTTCGTCTCTGACTTTAATGTGATATCACGACCGTGAGGGTTGACCATCTTTGTCTGATCAAGCCGGATGGAATTGGTGGTTTCACAGATTAGGTGGTTCATGCCCACACGGAGGTAACCTACAACCACGCCGTCTCGCCAGCCACAGGGATGTCGCCTTACTATTGCGACCTCGGATATCACCCTCGTGTTCCCTCGCACTTCCTTCGACCGTCATAGATGCACCCCGACACGAGTTGTCCCGCGCTGGATGATTGGGTTAAACACATGACGTCGATCATGAAGACTGCGCATAAGCACATAGTTGCTTCCTAGACTCGCATGGCCGCATGTGCGATCCAATCCAGGATGAATCATTCATTCAAAGTCGGTGATGATGTGCTTATCTACGCCTGCCACTTACAGCTCGAAGCGGACACGCTTCGCAAGTTCCGGCGTCACTTCTTTGGCCCATGCCACGCTCTCCAGGCCGTCGGTTTTGAAACGGCTTCTAGCCCGGGCAGCTTCCGTGTGAAGCTGCCCGACTACCTACACCAGGCTCGTGTGCATGATGTCTACCACGTCTCGTTACTGCATCCCTACCGAAGACTATCTAAGCGATTCGTCGGACGACCATACGAGTGCCCTCCACCCATTATGGTAGACCGCCACAAGGAATTCCTCGTTTCATACATCATTGGTCACCGAGTCACCGACGACAACCCTCCTCACGTTGAGAATCTCGTACGTTGGAAGGTTTACCCTGATGAGGAGGCTACCTGGGAGCCCCTTGAGCACTTGCACCACACTCACATGTTGGTGTGTGCCTA